CGAGAGAGAGAGAGAGAGAGAGAGAGAGAGAGAGAGAGAGAGAGAGAGAGAGGGAGAGAGAGAGATCTTCTCACTAACAAACCTCTTCTATGATAAAATTCTATGACTCTCATTGTGATCTTTATGTTATGTATTGTAGCCTGGACAGGAAAAATTGTTAGATTTAGTTTAGGGTGACCTTTATCCCCCCCCATTCATCAATTTTTGCACCATTTCACGTACTAATTCTGGACAAACTTGCCAAATTTCACAACTAACAAGATCTAAAAAATAAAACTTTCTAGAACACATCCTCTATGATTATCCATAACCCACATTTTAAAACCTAGAATTCATGTTTGTGTAAACCACAAACAAAAGTCCTCTAATCCGTCCTCTAAGACTGAATTCATCAAAAACATTGATAAAATGATACATGCACGTGAGCTCTGTTCATGTGCACAAGGCAAAATGGAAAATGCCAAAAAGTTTGTTAAAGATTTCAAAGAACATGAAAACTCCGCTTACTCTGTTTTCAGCCTCTACTGGTGCCTCAGGAAAAAACTTCAGGTCAACTGAAGTATTCACCAGAGCTGCAGTCAGCTCTGCCCCTTTTGCTATCTCATCCTCCCTTTGAAGAGCAAAAAGTTTTAAAAGTATTTAAATTTAACAAATCAGCAAATAAAAAATACTGTTGGTGATTGCCTGTTATCAGTAAAAATTACTTCTGGCAACAAAAAAAAGGTTCATTTATAATAATTATGCTCCAGTCCACTGAAAAACGCCTTTGAAAAAGGCAAGGGGTATAGAAGACACTTTTTTTAAATTGTTGTTTTTTACACAGGCATAATTTTATACAGTCTATGTCCTTCTGATCAGATGGATTTTATACAGTATAATAAATTACAGAAAAACTTATCAATAATCTGGTGTGGTATTAATTAAGAGATAACTTAAAGGGTATCTAAATTCAGCCTAGCTGTGTAATTGTAATATAATATAACAAGGTATATTCAAATTATTTCCCTAAATTGCAATTAGATTAAATCTATTAATTAGTCTTGCTTGTACGTGCACATTGTAAGCACAAGTTTCCACGGTGTCACATTGCATGCATACATGTATCTTGAGTGCACTAACCATGATGCCACTGGGCCTCACACTCAGCAGGGCTGTACTAACAGTTAAAACAGTCTTCTAAATTGACCAATCAAAGTGCACCTGTATACCATTACCTCAGAGATACAACAAAATATATTTCTAACTTACTCTTCTTGTGTCAAATCATCTTTCAGCGGCACCACACATGTGCTAGGAATGTAACCTTTTTCTCCGCTGTCCACCTTTTTTACATAGAGCCACCAGTCAACATTTCTCCCACGAATTTCAAACTTTTCTCCAATTTCAACAGACAGCTGTGCCGAGACATCTGGAGAAGTGTTCACAGTTTCCTCTGCCTCAAGGTCATCTTCTTCATTAGGTTTATGTATATGAACTGCTACCACTATCAAATCTCTTTCGCCTTCTGTCATGGCTGAGAGGTGGAAATTCAGACAAAAATTTATGCAACACACAGTGTTTCAGATATACAGTTGTCCCAAATGGAGAGTCAGAGCTGTTTGAAGAAAAAAAGATGTGTTTATTCAAATTTTCTGTATACTGGTAATTCACCTAATGTATCAATTGAAATAGGTATGGTAAGGTAAAGTCTTTCACCGGGCTTCCCAACAAAGTGCTGGCCAGCTAGTGTCTGAGTGGATTTGGACTCCCCTAGATTTGGACCCCCTTTGCAGATTTGGACCCTCCCAACAAACTAAGGGAAAACATGGGTTAGGGTTAGGGATAGGGTTTAGAGTTAGGGTTACTGGGTTAGGATTTAGGGTTAGTATTATATAGCATTAGGGTTTAGGGTTAGGGTTGTATGAAACAAACGATACTTTAAAGGAAAATTTAGTAGTGGGGTCAAAATCTGTGAAGGGGGGTCAATATCTACTAGTGGATTTGGAGCGGGATCCAAATCTGTTGGGGGCCGAATTCCAGTGTGACACAGATTCCATTTGTATCCTTGGGTGGACTCTAACAGAGGCATTCTGAGAATAATTAAAGTAATCTGCTCAAGGATACAACAAACATACAACGTCAGATGTCAAACACAGGCCTCTCAATGGAACATGCTGAAATATACCACATTATAAGCCGCTTTCTCTCCTTCTTAGGTTCGAAATGATTAAGCACCATGGTTGTTCGTGAGTTTTGAGGTAAATTGGTGATAAAGTTTATTCTAATTGAAAAATAATTGCTGTTCTTGCCAAGACACACAAATAGCAATGCTAAAAATTTAGTTGATAGTGTTAAAAACATGTATTAAAATTCAGTCAATAGCATACCAGACAGTGAGCATATTGAGTAACAATTACATGTAAAAATCTGTGAAGAAATTAAAGAGTTTTTTTCTCAGGTTTTTTAATTTCCTAGTTTTGGTCATTCATTAGATTGATCAATCAGTATTTATAATCCAAATTTTGGTTTTAATCCTCTTTGATTTTCAGTTGCTGCTCTTTGAAAATCTGTTTTGTTTTTTGGAAAAGAAATCAGCTATTCTTGGTTGTGTTTATCTTGTTCAAACACCTTGTCATATCTTTTTTATTTAGTACCTATCACTAACTGCAGGGTTTTGGTTTTGAGAAATACTTATTCAGCTTTGAGAAACCTTTTGGGAAGTTTTTAGTTTCCCTTAGAAACTTATGCTTTCTTCATGGAATGGCACCCTAACAAGATTTTTACAAATACCAAGACACAATATATCTTTTGGCAGGATAATAGCTAGGCCTGGCCATAAATTTTACAAAAAGGTACTTACACTTACATCTAATTAACAAATAGATTTAAGGTTGCTGTGCAGCTGTTGAGTTATTGAAGAAGTCAAAATATCATAAAAACATGAATCATTGACACACTCGGTTGTGACGTGTGTTTGGTCTATTTGTTCTTATGGTATTTTGAGGCCATTTGTAACCTGTTACATGGCACCATGGAAAACACTTTAATTTAGGTCTTGTTTATTGATTATCTACTATGAATTTGTGATGAATTATCAAGCAAAGTGCAAGTGGACTACCCGTAGTAGGGATGATTTTGTTAAATTATATCTTTGAGCTACTGAAAAATATCAGGATTGTCTGGGTTTAGGGTGGTATCAGAAAAAAGCAATAAAAAATTAAAAAATAACACTCAACAGCAACTCAAGGTTAAAAATCTGGCCCTAGTGGTTGGTAGGTAAGATGTTCCTATTCACAGCATAAATCTTTACCCAATGAATAAATGCTATAGGTTTTGCTGTCACCTATCTGTTGGAGAGTGATTTATCCATTGGATAGCATTGTCTACCCATTTTACAAATAGGCCCTGGAATCAGAAGAATTATTGCAGTAATTTAACTAATCCAAAATACTAAAATCATAATGATAATACACCCTTTAATGAAGTATGTCTCATGCAAACAAAATTAAACTGAAAAACACATGCACAACTCAATCTTGTTTGAAACACCTGCTACACTAGAGGGGAAATTAATTTTTTGAGTTTTTTTAAATTACGCTTCAGTCCATATTTGTTATAACAAAGGGACTGAATCTCTGATAGAGATTTCTTTCTTTTGTAAGATTTCTCGACAGAATCTGGTCTCGTGGTTTTATGGAAGACGACTTATAAGAAAATATGCAAAGATTTGCAGTTGTAGAAATCGAAAATGTATTTTTCTTAAAGAATAAAAGGAAAATGGTTTCAGTCGGCTGCTAATTAGAGTAGCAACAATTAAGAACGAGGAAAATGAAAAGTTTCACAGGACTACAAGGGTTTTTTGGTAAGCATTTTTCGTGATTTTTTCTAGTCGTTAAGATTTGCAGGTGGGCAGGGGGTCGGAAACATTAACCTGTAAAAAAAAAAAAATAGCTGAGGTTTGCAACTTGCCCCAAACTAATAACCCAAAGAAAACAAAAATTGAGCGATCTTTTTCATTTGCGATTCTATCGCTCGGCAATTGCAGGGAGTACTTTGAAATACATCTAAGTAAAGTTTAGCTGGAGCACGATCCCTGCGTGATGAATCAAACATTGTTGAATCATTTTTGGCGCCGCGGACGCGTGACTCATCACTTCGATCATGATCACACGCCTCGTGTGTTGTGTACACATCAATGTAATGTTCACGTTTTTTACAAGCCACGAAAGACAGCAAACACCCAATCAAATTTACCTGAAACTGCAGCCAACACGAGAATTTTCCCTTCCAGCTTTCGCCCAGCGACGGAATAGGAAAAATATAAAATTCACGTTGCACAGTCAGGAAAGTCAGGAGTCCAGGGTTTACCTCTCAAAAACCCTTTGACAGTCGCATAACGATCGATCTGTGGTCGATAAACATCCGGAACTAGGGCCATCGCCGAAGATTGCCGAAGATGCTCCGTTAATCAGTCGGTATGAAAAACGCGTGTGCATTCGTATTTTGATCGCTACGCCCGGGTCATCGGATCGCGCGTATCTTACGGTAGGAGGAGCTGGCGGGATTGTCGTAGAGGCGCAGAGAATATTGCTTTTGTATAAGGATTTTCTGAGTGGTTGCACCTGAGGTGAACCAGTTACATTTCACAGTTACCTTAGCTGATCGTGCCGTTGTAGATTTCAAGGGAAGACATTTAGTTGTCAATTTCATTTTTGCGCCCGACTGTGTAAGCAAGCGGTTCAAGTCCACCAGTGATATATATAGCTGCAAATAAAGAAGACGTTGACTTTCGCGGTGAGTGTTGCATAAAAATTCTTGTTTTCTTTCATTTAGACACAAGTTTAGGAATACCGTTTTGAGTGAAATTGTTCTGTGTGCGTCAACGTCAAGTCGCCAAAGGATCGAAACGAGTTCAGGTCTCTGTGTTTCAAGTCCGGATACATGTATGTCCGTATTGGCAGCCGTAATTGGTTGTTTTTCATTGCAATACTACGGGAGAGGAAAGCCGAAACATAGTCAGATTGCTCATCGGCGCAATATATAACCTGCAATATCTTGATCATTATTCGCGGAATGAATCTACGAGGGCAGGTCTTTCAGTTGTTTAATTGTCACAACAACACGCCGTATTACGTTGTCACACAATGATCTGACAAACAACAGACTTCTCGTAGCGAGGTGTGTTTTGAATCGATTTAGCCGTTTGCTTGAGGAACGAGAACTCTTCCAGCGACTATAAATCCGAAGCAAAAATTCTGAAAATATTTGCTTGAGAGCACTTTCAGCGCTGGCAACGATTCTCGGCGCCGGCACACACCCTAAAGATGTATGTTGTGGTCAGCTAATTGTTCCTGACACATGTGCGTGGCCTATTAAATTCGCTGGACGGTGATGAGTAGCGTTTGTTTCAACGAATGAGTATGATATGGTATTAAAGCCGATGCCATCCTGAAAAATTTAGATATAGCTTGATTAGTTTTCTGAGGTCGAGTGATTTCGATGCGAAAAAAAAAGTCGATATCAGACGATTTCACTTTTGGATCGATCGTATTATTTCGATGGACTGATGCCGCTTTCTGTGATATCGATTTTTCCTCTTATTTATAATTGATTTTATTCAAGTTGTTTTTTATTTAAACGAGACATCTTACTATATTCGTAATATAGCTCAATGAAGGGTGAAGACCAAGCAATATCACTCAATGAACTACATTTCAATGTTACGTCAACAACCTTCAGGGCCTTTCTCATTCCTTATCTATCTTGCTCAATATTGTTATTTGTGGTAAGATGAGTGACGTATGGAAGCCATGCTAAATTTTTATTGTAATATTTAAGGCTAAATGTATAATTATTCTTGTAGTGATAGATGTTTTGTTCTTGTTTTGTTTTTGTATTTGTCTTCTTTTGTCATATACAAGAATACCCCTCACTATTTACTTCGTTGATTTAAATCGTCTTGTGACCATCCCATGAAATGAATAAATTCATATTTCAGTGGATGGGTGGTTTTGGGCGGACAAGCATTTTGCAAAAATAAAAGATAACAAGTATCAGCACAGTGGAGAACAAGTTATGTTCACTGTACAACAGCATGAAACAAAAAGAGGGCAGGATTTTGGAATATTTGCCTTATTTGATTTGCTCCTAATTTCATTCTAAGATACATACAGCACAAAATAGTCTTTATCTTCACAGGCAGCTGTACTGTTTGATGCGAAACACTTGTATGATTTTGAAGACATGAATTATAGGACTATGAACTGCAGTAGCAGGAAATAATTATTGTAAACTGTGAGTTTCCAAACAACAGCTTCACATACACACATGTAGTGTATATGATTGAAGGCCACGGTAACACTTATTTAACCTTCCAACCCTAGAGAGTGACTAGCATCTTCTTTCTCTGTACAATGTTACTGTACAATGTTACTGCTGAATTGGACATCAAGTGCACTAGAATAAAGGAAATGATAATTCACCCCTAAGGAGTTCCTAATTGTTAGACAAATTCTCCTTGTTATCACTGTAGGAAATGTTTGGAGAATATATCTACTGATGCTAGGTGTAAAGGGCTGAACACAGGATTTCATGTGGAAATGTTTGGAGAATATATACTGATGCTAGGTGTAAAGGGCTGAACACAGGATTTCATGTGGAAATGTGTGGAGAATAATTATTTACTGATGCTAGGTGTAAAGGGCTGAACACAGGATTTCATGTGGAAATGTTTGGAGAATATATACTGATGCTAGGTGTAAAGGGCTGAACACAGGATTTCATGTGGAAATGTGTGGCGGATGCAGACTGTACAAGCTCTTTTTTTTTTTTTTAAACTTGGACTATTTCAGATTATTGTGGACAGTGACAATGTGAACATTAGATTTGTGTCCACTACTGATGGAATGCGTTGTCTATGGCTACTCGAAAAATATGGATGTTTCTTTTTACAACCCCCAAGATTGATTAGTATCTAATTTCTTCTTACAATATAAGCCTCTGAATTAAACATTGAGGTTATAAGAATAAAGTAGGGGTACATTGAAGTTTGCGGTTTTGCAGTGTTGACCTCTTTTTTTCATGCAGTATTGCAGTAGTGAAGAACAACTTGCATTGCTGTTTTGAGGTGATCTCAAACCTTATGGTGTACGATGTTTGTGATTTCAAACTGACGGTGTTAGTCGAAATAAACCATTTCCAGTATTGCAGTTTATTCTTTAACCCTTTTTAAAAACAAGATTTTGATAACATGTGTTTAGGCAATACATGCAAGTTAATCTTTAATCAACATTAGCTAATTGACCCCAGCCCATGTTTATTTATATTTTACTTGACCTCTGGACCTCTACCACATGTGCTATTCCTAAGACTTAAACTATATGACGGTGTTGGTGCCTTGATAATATTTCTTGGGATGATATGGTGTTTGTTCTATTTTGTTTGCGGTGTTATGGCATTCAGAACCTCCGTTGTCCCCCTCTTAAAGGAAGTGATCCTCAATTGAAGAAGCTCTTGATTGTCAAACAAAATTAATTCTCCTTGTTTGCACCATAGAAAATGTGTAGAAAACATTATGGAGAATATGTGGACTGATGTTGGGGTGTAGAAGGTTGAGATATTTAACAATTATTCCATGAGCGCCCGTTGGCTATGAGATGATAGATAGCCAACGAGGCGTGTAGTGCCGAGTTGGCTATAATCATCTCATATCCAACAAGAGCGAGTGGAATAATTGTTTTATTAAAAA